CAGGGGGTGATCAGTAAGACTTGGTCAACGCCTATTAGCTGTCATCAACATTTCATGAGGAACAAAGTCATTTTGATAGAGAGAGTTCACCTTATTGCTTGTGCACCTGGTCGTTGGGTAAATACCGTACTCAAGCCAGTTAATGCAAATTCTACCAGCCCAGGAGTTTGCTTCGTTTCTCTTATTGATATAGACATGCTTAATAACTTCACAGAGAACTTCATGGCTTCATACTAGATATGCAAGAAAAACAACAACAGTGAATTATAAAGTATGTTAATATATATTCCAATACAGTCGATGAAGAGATGGAAACCACAAATACCAGTCTAATACTATTTTTCTGGTACTATAAGTAGGTTGTATCATAGCTGGTGTATAAGTCATTTGCAAACAGTTATTACGAAGAGGTGGTGTTAAGAGTAAGAGTAGACTATGCTTACAAGTCTTGATGTTTCTACACCACATTCTGAGATAAAAGCCCTCTGATATAGAGCTGGAAGCAGTCCATTGTACCATGCATAGTATCTCACATCAAGATGACTTGTCAGACTATTTCTGAATGGTTAAAAAAAAAAAAAAGGTTACTTTCCTCACTGCAGTCCTTCAATCACCTCTTTCCTTACACACTCACCTACCTACACTGCCTCATCCACTACCACTCACATTTAAGACTCCAGTGAAACACTTAGTGGATCTTCTTTATAAGTTTTTCGATATTGTTAGAGGATGTATTAAGCATTTAATAACTTAAAACAACAACACACTACTTACATGACTTTATTCTATCTAGAGTAAGTAAAATTTCATGCTGAACTTTTTCAAAATATCCCAAGTAAGCTCTATAACCACTTTCCTGAAGCTACATCTAAGGACACTGTCATGCACAAAGCCAGCATGCAGCACCTTAATTCAGAAGTGTCAGAACAGTATTCAAATATAGAGACAGAACTTCAAGTAATTTTAGAAGTGATTTCCTATCATCTTTAGATTTTTATTAGTACATAAAGCTATTATCTTTACATTTATAAGCAAAAGTAGATAGCAATTGTTTGCTGTCATAGTCAGTTGTGCCTTACTGATTTTGGAAGAGTTGGATCCACAGCTGTTTCACTATATCCAATTGCTGCATAAAGTTTAGCCTTCTCTTCACGTGTCATCAGCTCTTCAAGACCTGTCATATTGCAAGAGGTTAAACTCAATATAGGTACGTGAAAATTGCAAATACTGTTATACTCTTTCCAGAGTTTGGTAGCTCTATAGCATACTGTAGATACTAATTTAGGACAAAGTTGACAGTAATAAGAGTTTGCTATAAACCTCAGGGTTTTTGCTTAAGTGTCCTGAAGCACACTTTAAAATACAGTTGTACTTTTCCTAGCTTGCTAACAACAGAAGCAACCTTTTGACTTGCTTCGCATGTTTCCCAACCTTTACTAGGTGCCCAGTACTTAAGTGAATCAAACTCTACTGCTCTTTGTGAAATGGACAAATTAAAAAATGAATGGAAGTAAAATTGTTTACATTCCATTAACTGCTAACATTTTCTAGTACTTTCTTCAAATCCCCATATATGGTACAGCAAGCAGACAAACGGGGAAACCGTGGCAGAAGAAAGCACCAACGGAAGACTGTTCACAAAGACCCATGGAAGGAACTGTAAAAGACCTCTGCAACATGCAATTAACAACTTCATCAGGAAAAAAAAAAAAAAAAAAAAGAAGAGGAAATGTAAAAATCAGTAATCCAATACCCCAAATACTTAAAAAAATCCAAAGTTCCGTTGCTAGGGATGTATTATTCTAGTAAGTCATTTTTAATAATAGAAGAAAATACCAACAAATGAACATACTTGAACCCTTAACTTCTTGTTTTTGTTCATCCTTTTTTTCACCTGACCAGCTCCATATCCAACTAAACCAACCACCAGAATTTTCATCATCTTGCTTTACTCCTGGCCTGTAGATTTTTAATCCAGCCTTAGTTGCCTGAAAATTAAATAACTCAAAGTTAAAAATAAACAAGTAATTTTCTTCATGCTTTTTGCTTCATTTTCCTACGAAAAATATGGACCCAAGACATGTTCTAACACATCAAAACATCATTAGACAACCATTGAAAATGCAACGTGTTAATTTTTAGTTTTTCCAATAACTTTTTCAAGTACACTGTGCATCATGGGACCACTTCTCACTTGAATAAAATCATTCACCTTTATGAACAAAAAAAGCAAGCAAAAGGTAGCTGATTTTAAGTCAATAAATGTTTCGTGCACATCAGATCTTCTCCCTAGCTCTCACCACAAAAAAAATCCACATTATATAGTGCTCTACATAACGATGATAAGGAAACATTAAAAAATATGTAGGCAAAGAGATAGCCACCACAGAACAAATATTAAATATCCCCTGTATTTTTAATTTCAAGATAGACGTCCAAAACAACAACAATAATAAAAAATTATTACTCTTGTAATTTTCCTCGCATTTAGTCTAAGGAACATAGAAAACTACTCCTGTATTTGACAGATATTACTACAACAGTATGCAATCCCTCCCTTATCCTACATTCATTACTTCAATAACTAGGGGATGCCCTGTCTGATGCCAGTGATGATTCTAATACTGGGTACTCACAGGAAGTGGAAATTATATCTGGACCTGAACACTGAAAGTTTGGCATAAGGAACACCAAACAAACACCAAGGGATCTAAGAGACAGAGGAGTTCTCAAAACTGTGGTGCACCACACTAATTATTTTCCTTTGTGGCTGATATGATCTGAAAAGATACAAACACTTGCAGATAAGCCTTGAATTTAAGAGATGCTCTAATGAATGTGAAGACAGCTGGCTGTAAATGGGAACATTTTAGGGACTTGTTACATGTACCTACCTACAGGCCAGTGGAAGGCAGGACTAACCACAAAAACACAAAGGCTTCTGACCTGATAATACTGATCCACCTCAGATGATGCAGAATCTCAGCTAACCAACACAAGACCTCAAAAAGTTTGCGCAAAATCCTCCAAAGTCTTTTTTATAAAGAGTATTGTTCACTTTAAGTTACACTGATTGATGGACAAAAACCAGTTTATAGATTTCAGAAAACCTACACAGATTTCACTTCAGTCTCCCCAAATGATGCTCAGAAACTACTCTGAAACTAAGCAGTACAGTAACCTAGAAAAAACAAGGCTGACAAACTGTATAACTACTCAAGTCACATTACTTTGCCTAACTATGGTTATCTACTGAGGCGTATGCTGCATTTGCTGCGTTCCGAATAACATTTGCAGACAGTAATGACAGGTCAACATACTAGATACACAGGTGTTTGGCCTAAAAAATAGGGTATCAGGAAGGAAAGGAATAAACTAATAGTGTAGGCTGCTGGGAAAGAAAAGAAAGAGAGGATAAAAAAAAAAAACACCAACCAAAGCACAAAAAAAATGAAGCTTTGGGTATAATTGCTTCCAACCTCAGTTATCCTATCATCCTTTGACCACAGTAGATTTCCACATCCTTTCCACAGCAGGTCTTCCTCACCAAAAGTGGAAGGAAATTCATCCCAGACCAGTTATTCTGAAGCAGCAGTATATGGAGCTATTTAATTTTTGCTTTACTAGAAATTGAAATTAACTGTCCTTTATAACAACAAATGTGGAATATAAGGAAAATAGAAAGACTGTATGATGCACAGTTCAACCACAAAAACAAAAACACACCTGCCTAAAATCTTCACAAGCTTATGCTGCAGTTATTTTTAGACTCATTTAAATAATGAAATTTTACCTCAACTTCTGCTTGTTGCCTTGCTAGCGTGATGTTAAAAATATCCAAGGCCTTTTCAAATTCCTAGAAACAAGTGAGAAATTATTTTTGACAATTCCATTTAGTTAGATTTCACAGCTCAGTTTTACAGGAAATGATAATAAACAACTCTTTCAGTGCAATTAAAGTTAATTCACTCAAGCTGAAAACTTAAAATAAACCCAGGAATTAAATGCACATCAATTTATGTTTTTCTTCGCTGCAGTTGCTAATTTTACAAATGATCTAATGTGCTTGTTAGTACTACTCACAGAGAAAGGTACTTAAGAAGTTGCAAGTGTGGCCAGTGAAAATTTATTTTAAATATTTACACTGTCCTAAGTCAGTACTAAGTTTAAGAAAAGAGGAAGATGAACAAAACTTAAGCCTTTAATATAAAATGGCTAACCTCTAACACTTTTAAGATTTCTTCATTAGGTTTTTTTGATGTTATCTTTGTTTTATACATCTCTTTATAGTTCTTCACTTGTTTCCTATGGTGCCAAATATGTTCCCATGACCACATTTGGAGCTTAGGCTGAACATTTACTTCAAGGATGCCATAAATAACATACTTCCACCTAAAAGCAAAGACAAATGAAGTACAGTTTACATTTCTTTTGGTATACTAAAAAGACAGATAGAGATATGCAGACTCCCACTAAACACAACTTCAAGCTGTGAAAGAATGAAATCCCTTGTATAATATCACAATTCTGATAAGTAGAGAAATCCAAGGATTTTACTTTTTCTTCCACACAAAGTTGATAGGTTGCTATTTTGCAAAAATTAAGAAGTAACCTTGTACAAAAGGTGCCCACAAATATATGTGTGCATATGTCTCCATGTGTAAATAAACAAAACAGAATTGTAAGGAATCTTCTGAAAATATATCAAACCTCTGCCATCTGTGTTGAAAAGGTTTGCCTGTTTTAAGATAATGGCTACGTTCTTGTGATAGCACTCAAGATATAATGAGCTCTCCTTCATTAAAACAGAGTTAAGATATTAAAACACTATCAAGTTTCTGGTAATGGTCTTTAAGACAGCAAATGCAGGCTTTCAAATATTGTATCCCTGGCTTTGGTTTAAGGTCCTCAAAGTATTTTTGATACTCCTAGCTTAAAAACAGAACAGAAACAAAAGAAAAGACTTTTTCAGAAGGAAATTAGTTTTAACCTCCTTAAGTAAGAAACAATCCCATTATTAAATTGAAATAATTACAACTAATAAATTATTTCCAAAGTCTGAGGAAGCTTACCATATCTTAGCATTGTTGTGCAATGGAACATCAGGTCTGTACTTCCTGTACGGCAGGTTTCGAGTCATCATATCAATAGACTCAAGAAGCTCCATAACACTGAAGTACTAAAAAACAACCAAACAAGAAAGAATTCGAAGTGTCATTGTCTGATAACAACACAAAGCAAGCCTCTATTTAAAAGAAATTTTCAAAGGAAAACAAGACTAAGAAATGAACTGATTCTGTATGTATTATAAAATTTCTGACTGTTTTCTTATTATTCTTACAAACCAACATTTTTACCACATTACATAGAAATTCAGAGAAATAGTTGATACCTGTGGCTTATTGAATTCAACAGTTATGTCCTGTAAATTTACATCTAAATCCATTTTTGGTGATGAAAAGTCAACATCAGATCGAGGATTCATAAGGAGTTTGGCTTTAGCTGAAATTGGGCGGAATACTAAAAAACAGAGGTTGAGAGAAAAGTGCAGTTAAATTCTTTACTGCCAAAGACGATACATAATACTTATAACTTAGGCTAATATCAGATTAGTCATTTAAAAATGCTAGACTTCAAAATATGAAGACTTCATTAACAAAGCTTAAAATATACTACAATCTATACTCTCTATATACTATTTCCAGCTCCTTCTCGTAATATTTGTGGAACATTTCTACAAAATTTCCTGTAGGCAATATTACATGGCAGATGTTTCAATTACTAGCATATATTTGCAAGAAACCTGGGGGGTTTTGGCTATGATATAAGCTGTTTACAGTACAAGATCGTTTTAAACATAGCACTTATTTCAATATAACAACTGTTATTCCATTAAGGTTTTGGTTTTTTTAATACATTAATGTTTTACGCCGTTTGATAAGTTATACTCACAAGAGTGGATAAAACCCAAATATTCCACATTTCTAAATCCAAGCCCAAGTAAGCATGGAAAAAAATCAATATGGGTCCTACATTAAGCAAAGCACACCACATGAAAACTATTCAGAGCAGAATGTTATATCTGTTGCACAATTTGCCAATATCAGGCATTCAACAGAGCCTTCAAAAGCCATGTTCAGTTTTTACATTTGTTTCAGCAACTGATCCAACAATAAGAATTTGTATTCATTGAATTTGTGTAAATTGTATTTTTATAAAATAAAATTCCTTTGATTGCAACAGAAATAACAGACCATCTACATACAAAATATTCTAAATTCACTGAAAGATGCATAAAAGTGGAAACAGACATTTCTGCAAAACGAAACTGTTTAAACCAATTTACCTTTGTTTCATTTTAAGCCCTGTATTTCTTGTGAAGCTCATTTTACTTTTAGCTACACATTTTATGTGGTAGCATTAAGACTACAGATATGGTATAGGATTCACTGTCAGAAAGACAGTTATTCCTACAAAAGAACTAAACTGCACTTCTTACTAAGATTATTTTAATCACAGTTGAAGTATCAACCTCTGAAAAGCATTCAATATTAGAAGTATACACGCATATTACAAATAAAATACCACTTACCAAAATCATAACCTTCTGGAATCACATTGTGGCTGGCAACTCCCTGTTTTAAGTTAACCTACATACACAATGGATTTAAAAATAAATTGCACTTTTATTTCAGGATAGAGTTTTAAAATACAAAACGTTAGCATTTTAATACAGGTTTCTGATAAACACTCTGATATACTGCACAACTCAAAATATTAATATATGTTTTAAACAGAGTAAGATTTCTATTTTTAGCTAATAAAATGGCTGAACAGTAAGATGACCATATATTGTGTGTAATTTTGTAATTAGCAAAGGATTTTTTTTAACTTCGTCAGATGGGGTGTTGTACTTCCATCACATAAAAAACACTTAATACTTTTCCTAAAAAAATATTACTAACAAGACAGTTCTCCAGTTCTTTGACACAAATGGGAACAGAACAGAATATCAAGCATGCTCTACGCTTCGCAGTACGAACTAGAATTCTAGAAACATTATCTCATGCTTTACTTACCAACGATTCCTCACAACCACCATGGTAGAACATCTCCGATTTCACATTCCAGTAAGCAAAAAGGTTATCCAACCGTACTAGCTGGAAGTACAACAAAACAGATCTGTTACTACCCACAATTTAGATTAATAATTTGGATTTCACAAAGCTTGGATGAATAAAAATATTCAGAATTCTCCTTGCAGGCTATGCTTTATTTTAGAGCCTACCCAGTTACAAGTTTTCTTCATCTCAGTTTCTGTGGAAGGAACTCTAACTCAGCTTGTTTTACTAACAATTATTTCTTTAGTTTACAATTTATACTGTACCTTATAAAACAACTTGGCAGTTTCATCATGTAAACATGGATTCCAATTCTTATCAGAGGTCTGAAAGGAGAAAAGAAACTTATTCCAGTATCTATAACACACCACCCTCTTACAACTGAAACAAAGGATAAAAAAAGAGAGGAACAACATAACTAAACCCCACTGAAAAGAATGCAATGTCGTCTTCTGAATTAAGATGATTAAGCCGTTCTTTTAAGTGGAAAATTGATAAGGCTATTTCCTCCCAAAAAATACACACATACATGCAGTGACTGGCAGGCTGCACACGAAGAACCAAAAGATTTGTTAAAGTTCTGTTTTCAGTATTGCAGAGTCTTTTCCTTCACACCAATATTGATTTTAGGCGGGCTCTTTGGCAAGAGATAAGTAGAGGACTTCTTTTATAATTCTAGAATTAACATTTTAGTTTGAGCCCAACAGAAACACTATGTGCAATAGCATATATAGCCTTTCCCACAGCTAATATGCGTTTCAAGCATGAAGTAGTAAGAATATCAAAGCTTTTGTTCACTATGCAAAACTGCTTAGGGGAAGGGGCTGCCAAATACTTTTCAATGAGCCAGGAACAAGCACTCATAACTACTTCATTCAAGAAAGTAACATTTACTTAGACATATCTCCTTTAAGATTAGCAGTTACACAGCAAAAGCTCATGAACTGGAGCAACTTCCCAGAGTCAGCATATTGCAGCTACTACATAGTCATCCAGAAAAAAAAAAACATACACAGTCTACAATGACTACTTTAAAGTGTAGCTTGCAGACTTCAAACGGAGCTCCAGTTTGAAACAAGATGTCATCCATTTTTTTAAAAAAAAGTGCCTTTCTTTCATATCCTTAGTATCAAGTAACTTCCTTTCCTGGAAATAACGACAATTTCCGTAAAATACTCACAGATTCTGAATAGTCGAAATCCAGCAAAGTCTGGTACTTGGCAACCAAAGTGCAGCAGGATGAGCATTAAGAATTTCCTCCCAGGTGTCTGTCTTAATGCTAGCACTTTAATGGCACCTCCACCACAATACATATGTTTGGTTTGTTAAACTGAGTAGTTACCATTGTGTGTTGTTCATGACTATAGATATGTCTTCAATAGACAGTATGTTATCAGAGAGCACAAAAATACACAAAAATGTAACTTAACCTATCAGTATACATCCATAAAGCATACTTAGATGAAAAATAAAGTTACCTGCAAACTTAGATTCTGAAGTGAGATCCCAAATGATAAGGGGTTATTCTTATTTGTGATCTAATAGAGCAGGGGGAAAAGATATTAAAAAAAAAAAAATTACCTTATGCTCTAAATTTAGATTTGTAAGTAAACAGCCAGCAATTGGTTTTTTATATGTATCTACATATCTAGCTAAATAGATACCTGTCAGTATTTATAGATATCCACATCAAAGATCTGACAACTATAACTTCTTTGCACCCATCCATATGCTTATAAATACATTTATACTTCGGTACAAGCTTTTTATCACGTTTTATTTTTTTTTCTAGGGCTATGAAATTTCCAAAACTTTACTAGGATTCCCTCTAACATGGAAACAAACTAAGAGAAAAAAAATGGGACAGATTCCTAATTCCATGTTGCAGTGCACAACCCCTGTGCTGAGATATACCAAAGTACTTACGTCGTCTTCATAGCGAATATGGATGTTGGAGATTTTCACCTGAAGATTTTTAATGACCTGAGTGACTAATTTTTCTACAAAAGTGTCTTGTTTCTCTTCTTTTACTTTATCTAAGTTAAAGAAAAATAACTCAGTATCTTGTTTGCATTATTTTTAAAACTACACCACAGAAAACAATAACATAATAAAGTTTGCATTAAAGATACTTAAATTGTCTATTACACTGTGTTCCAGTTGTACAAAGAAGCACCCTTTCAGTAAAATCTGTAACATTTATATCCTCCGTTTCAGATTTATTATCTGCCACAAAGAACAAGGTTGTTCAAAAGCTTGACTTGTACCCACTGATAATCAAGTTGGTCAATACATATTTCTCGAAAGTAACAAAAGTTGAATTTAAGATATTAAGACTTAGCACGTATCAAAGAATGAACAGAATCCTTAAAAAAGTACAACCTTAAAAATTCTTTGTTACTAGAAACAAAGTTGCTTCTTATGAAATAAGAGGAAAGAAAATGTCAGGCAATATATGACACAAGGAAGCAATATTTCAAAAACCTTATTTACATCAGACTACACCAATGCTTGAACCTTTTTATTTTCAGGATGTCCATTCTGCAGTATTGATGGCAGCTACAACTGAAAATCTGTAACTAATTGGTTTTTAATCATCAAGAGGAAAATCATAACCTAAAACACTGACAAATCCAGCATCTTTCTGGATTACAATATATAAGAATATATCATTCTCACTAGCTTTTCCCACTCTTACCTTGGTCAGCTATTTTCTGCTTTGCTTCCTCTATCCTTTGCAACTCCCTTTGCCTTGCTTCCAAGAGCTGCCTGGCTTCTTTTTCAGCATCATATTTTATGCCTAAATACACAATTTTAAAAGGTATGATAAAAAAACACAATTTTTAAAGATGTTATTTCAAAGCAGTAATTTGCAGATTTTGTTAACAGTTATGTAACAGCAAAAAATTAGGTGCCTAAATGTAGGCTACAGAAAGACACCACATTCCAATTTTCTAATTGTATTTGCTAGAGTACCTACAAGGAATCAAGCTCATGAAAACAGTATCAACCAATTCCAGACACTTCTGAAATCCCACCAATCTATGTTCCCTTTTTCATCTGCCTTAACTTACTGGCTGTAGGCACAATAAGCAAATAAACGCCATCAAGAACTGCTTCAACAGGCTGAGTATAAAGGTTCTGCCACGGAATCTGTAGGTTAAGTTGACCTACAAACACAAAACAAAAAGGTCGAGGTACACAGGCAGTTGAACTTAAAAAAAAAAAAACACATTACAAAGATAATCAACATTAACCACAAAGCCTCTGAACAGTTATTATGTGGGACAGACAAAAAACAGTCCATCTGAGGCATATGTCCTTTGGATAATTGTTTTACATTGTACACAAATGAACATGAGGCAAGTTTTTCCATGAGCAGAACCATTAAGTCTACAGGTCCTCTCCTTACTCCCTTCAATTATATTCCTTTTAACAGCAAACTGTCCCCCTGTGCAAATACACTGCAGCACCCTTATAAATAAGAAAAGCATTGTCAGCTCATCCATGACCAGCCAGCGAAATAATCCCCAACCCAGAGTTTTAAAAATACATCTTTTTTTCTGTGGAAGACAGTCTTAACATCCTGTATATGTTTTGTGAACATGGGGACTCTGAGGTTACAGCACCTTTCACTCGACACACAAGTGCCTATTTTAATAAACTATGAAATCTGTCACAGGAAAATACTATATTTCCAGGATAGATTTAAGGTAAACCTGGTAGCTTTAGACTTAGTTTGCTTTAAGAAACCACTCACTTCTACATGACAGTCAACTTGCAATGAGAAAACTTTTCAGATCAGCAAAAGGACTAAAGAAGGAAGAAAGTGAAGCGGAAGGTAGAATCAGTTCTGCTGTTGCACTAAAACACGGGATGAGATCCAGTCGTGCTCAGTTGTTCACCTTTGCTGTGTTGGATTCTTTTCTCATTAATATTGAAGTGATTATGTAAAATTGCAACGTATTTTAAGTTTACCATCTCAACTCAAGAAAACTGACTTCTTCATTTTTTTTTTTTTTTTTTTTTTTCACAAAATACAAGCCTCGGAGTGTACAAAATATGCAAATTAAGGGAACTTGGAAAATTACTTGCTTAGGCTGCTTAAAGCCACTTGCAAGGAAAAGTAACATACTCAGTAACTCCTGCATAGGTCTAGGATAAAATGTAACTTACCAATATGTCCTGCTTTAACTTTAAATGGCACGTCCAACTGACTCTGAAAGAAAGCGGTTTGGAACACTTAAGGTCACTTCAGCAATTTGTGAAGTATTCCCATATAGGGAAATAAGATGACTATAACCTTAACAATGAATTTACCTTTCAACCACTGAAAAAAGTTTGCCAATACCATGGAACAAGCAAGTGTTTGGTTACCCATTTAGACTGTTAAACCATACTCAGCTAAATGCAGTCCCAAGAGTAAGTTTCTAGCATCATGAGCAAGAGACAAAAAAAGTCTCTGAGTATTGTTTTTGACCTAAACACATACTTTTAGCAATTGCTGAGAGTTGTTTTGGAAAAAAAAAACATGGGGGTGAGGGGGAAGCTAAATGAAGCCAGCATACATCTTAACCTTTAAATTTAATCTAAAATTAATTAGACATTCCACACAAGTGCAGAGAAAACACAACACTAAGTTTTCACTTAAAAGATATCATACCTTAAAATAAGAACCCAAAAAAGCACACAGAATCTAAAACATTGTTAAAGAATCTTTTCTGCAAGTTTTATTTACATTTGCACTAACTTACCAGTGCATTTTCTTTTATTTCAAGATTCTTCAGTGCTACAGCTCCTAAAAGCAAAGAAGCCAATAATTAAAACTACAATAAGCAATGCAAGCTAAACATCCCAAAGCCTGAGTCACTGGTCCATGATCTGTGGTTCTTCTAACTATTTGCTGCGGAAGATATCCACAACCTACACCTCTCAAACAACCATGCAAGATGATTAAGAACACACTGTTCATTCATGTTATAAAACAATTATCTGAGATTTTCTCATGGACTTTGCATGTCCATGGAAAGGAACCTAAAATTCCTCTAAGTAAAAATGTTGGAAACAACTGTCACATGTTTTAAGGATCCATTTTGAAATTAAAAGTTTGCTTCTTTTTCCTCAACCATCTGCTTCCTACGTTTGTGGTAATCTAGCAACATTAAATTTAGAGTGAATTTTTAGCCCTCAAAAGATCACACATTTCCAAGTTATATTTATAGGCTTATAAAAGTTCACAGGAAGCATTTCAGTAAATCTGATTTTTTAAATGTCTTGAGACAACAAATTCAGTACTCTATCAATGCAGCAAATTTAAAATTTTAAATTCCATTTTTACAACGTGTTTGACATCAGACACATCATAGCAAAGGGGCATTGGAATGGACCAGGAAACTCATAACATAAAAACATGCATATAGTCCAAAGCAAAGTTTTCTGCAAATTCTACAAGAAGGATGGAACACCTGCAATGGCTACCTTAGATATAGTTGTACAGTATTAATACATGCCTATGGAACAGACACCTGATACATCTGAGCAGGGGCATAAATGAGATACAGGAAACTAGAAGCAGATTACAGGCCTGCAAAGGAATACAGCTTGACGTTGCAAAGAAAGATTTGATTGACCCAGTAATGCTCCAACTGGAAGGAATATTCTTGCAGTTACATAGTGCTGATGGCATTAGACTCCTGTTCAAAGTACCACCAATTTTGGGAAACTGGACCCTAACCTCAAAACCACATTCATGAGAACAGTTGGGTCAAGCTGTTGAACTGCTGTGGAAGAACTGATCAGGTAAACCAACCCAGCCACCTTGTAGTACTTGCAAAATACTACAAAGTTTTCAATGTAATAATTTATTCATTGCAACAATCTATCGCTTTCCAGTAGAATTCTATAAGTGCTACAATGTGCCACCAGCAACCTCTCCAGCCAAATACTATATGCAGAAAGATGTTCTTCAGAGCTGGCTGGTCCTGGGGATCAAAGAAAGCATTCCCAGTAGCAGTCTACAACTATTCTAGTGATCATAACTACTCTACAGTCTTAGTATGTTGTGACAACATGACAGTTTTTATATAGTAGTGGGTTCCATTCTACTCTAAGTTTATTCCTTGATAAAGCTGACCCCGCAGACCATTTTAACACTGTTTTGTTTTAAACCATTTGCCTCTCCAAGAAGACATCATTAATTATAATTGTATTCATAGCAAGTAATTCTAATAGCATTCAGAGCAAAGGTTCGTGTTTGTAACCAAGTTACCGTGCATGACATGCAGTTTTTCCATGTCAGCTGAACCATGGCAAAAATGTTCACAGGCAAACTCTAAGACTACGTGACACACAAAGCAGTTTAGTCTCTTCACTTTCAATGTTGGCTAACTAAACTCTCTCTCTCATTTATCAAGGATTTGGCACATGCCATGTTTCAGCTGAGGCACAGGAACTCAAGCTGCAGTAACTACGGAGCCCTAATGCTTCTAAAAACAAGGTACTGCAAAGTGAACAGGGATTATTATCTCAAGTACTTACAAGCAATAGCTTCTAAAGGAAACTTCTAGCTGGTTTCACCTAAGCACATCATAATAGCAGAGAATAAACACAGTCTTGATAAGCTTTGACAATTCTGCATGAAATGCTGGGATTGGGAAGTGGGGTAAACATTTCTTCACCATTTTTCCTATACTAAGAATTTTACACTTAGTAAGTTTAAAAGGTTTTAGTTAAAATTATTAGATAAAGTAGAAGTCAGTACAACTTCAATCATCTCATCTTTAGTATAAAATTGCTGAAACACAATCACTAAAATACCGCAGTTTGCTTACAAAAATCCTGACTGAAGGTCTGACCACTGTGAATGGACTATCAAAGCACACAAAAGGCTACTACTGAAGCACTATGTTCTGTACATTTATGCAACACTTCTTAAGACAGACTGCAAGAACTGGATTGACTAAATATTTCTGCAAGTAAACATGAACTACTTGCAAAGTTACCACACCTCAGCTGGCAAACAATTCTCGCACTCAGGATTGGAAATGCAGTGACTGGCCGTGTCAGTATTCTGTCCCATTGCCAAAGGTTAGTCTCTTTCACACTCAGCTGTTCACTTGCAAAGAAACAAAGCTCCAAGTGCAACTGCACTGAATCCTGACTGTTCTGCTCAGGGCGGCGGGGGTGAGGGGTGGGCGAAGGGGGGTGTAACCTCATGAACAGAAGCAGGAAAATCAGAGAACAAAGGCTTGTCATAGGACATAACACAGCTACTGAACTTAACTGTCTTTGAGCACTGACAATGGACTTTAAGTGCAAGAATTTCAAAATACATTGAGATTTGGTTGTTTGGTTTGGTTGGGTTTTCTGCCTTTTTTTTTTCCTCCCCCATTGTGGGCAACTGGATATTCCTTTGACGGCAAGAAATGCATCCCGATAAAACCCCATTTGAATAGTTAAAAACTGCCCAGCTAAGCAACCTTCAAAACTGTATATACAAGTAATTGGAGTTATATAAATATCTAGGGTCAAACATGCAGGCTAACAGCCAAAACAATAATAAAAGCCAGAACATTTACAAATACCTATGGTACAGTCTAGGCTACATTACATACCAAATTCTGATTTCTGGACACTGTAAATAATTCAACAAAATCAAATATTTGTCAAAATTCTGGTACAATTAAGTTTATCATTTTAATTTTAGATAGTCAAAATAATTTCATGAATTTGAGTACATTAATCAACATCTACTACCAAGGACTTAGCTCACCAAAAAAAAAAAAAAAAAATCTAGAAACTAGATAAGTTTGTAAACGTTTTCACCAAAGAGGCCTAACAAATCTTATTATGGATGTCAACACAAGTTAAAGAGCGGGAAGAAAATTAATCCACATAAAAGCCCTGCAGATTTACCCTGTGTCTTAATGATATCTCTGCTGTCCTGCAAATAAGAAAGGGGGAGGGGAGGGTGCAGGGAAGTCAGACAAGAGAAAAGCATGAAAGATGATAGGGATCAGAAACTGAAAATACCTCAGCTGGTATCTGACCAGGAGCCAGTACTCCAGCTCACATATTTCAACACATTTCTGCTTTTTAGAAACAACACTATCAGCCTGTGAACCTCTTTGATCACTTTATACAAACTGCTGCCCTTGCCAGTCATTTCCCACTCCTGTTTGTGCTTTTAATTATTCCTGTTCGAGCACACCTTCTGGAGACAAGCTGTAAATCTTTAAGGATCAGAGTGTCTGCCAAATACCTTCTCTGCTGGTATCTCTTGTAAAATAGGTCATGAAAGGTAGCAGGAACTACCGGATATTCTTTTTCCTTCTATCAACTCAAATCACTAAAATGTAAGGAGGGGACTGCACCTTCTATACTAGACAAGGCAAGGTATGCAAAAGTAGTCTTTTATTAGAATAGTATCTTTTATTAGAATAGTTGGTGTAGCTGGAAAAAAAAAGCCTAAGTGCTTGTGTGCTCACAAACTTGTGTCCTTTATCTGCCTATATCATCCTACTAACATAGTCACTCCAAGAAGACACAGCAAGTTGTGTTAAGCAATATGTGCTTCAGCCATCACCTAACAAGCAGGTTTGCCAAGTCAGCATAAAATTAAGTATTTCAAAGAGCAGTACTGAGGGTCTGACCAAGACACTGAATGGAAAGTTATTTAGATCCAATCAAACAAAAATAATGGCAACATGGACTTTGGTGAAAAGGATGCTTGGTCTCTCACAGTGTTTGGAAAGCTCAATATCAACTCACTTCCTCTCAAAAATAACTGTCAGCATCTCACATTGCTTCAATCAATTCTTCAGGTACTGAAGTATAAACTCATTAGGTCTAGAGCACCTAAAAATATCCAACTTACCTAAATACTTATCTAACCTATTTATCTCAGCCAAGTACTTACACATTTGTTAATAAAGCTCATCGAAATGATCTCTTTAGGTGAAGACGAGAACAAGAGGTTTAAAACTGTCCTTCCCAGCATCAGCCATCCATCCAACAGCTTTCCTTGACAGCTGCCTAATAAAGCTGCTTCTTATTCTGCTTCATACTGATGGTGTTCTTAAGGTACATTATTTCCTTCCCCGTTACATTCTTTTCTGAGCCTTGGCCTTTCCAACTGGCCTCACATGTTCAGATTACCTTTTTTTCACTTCTATAGGCTGTCCTATCTTCTCCTTTCTGCATCACCTTTTATATTTCAGGTCATTAAGCTGTTACAGCTCTCTCAGCCATGAGTCTGTTTCAAGGTGTCAAATTTTTCTTTAGCATTGAAAAAGTCCGCATTTCTCCCCTTCAATCTGTGGGGTTTTTAATGAGGAAACAAAAAAAAGTAAACATTTCTGTAGTTATTACTGTGCTCATACATGTTGTTTGGAGCAGTGTCATCACACAACTTTACTTATACAGATTGAACAGCTCTGGATAACTTTAAGAGGGCAAGCTGAATTTCCACATTACATAAAACCAAAAGGAATGTTAAGTATCTTCATAAAAAAGCCATTAATAAAGCTCCCAAATTTACAGAAGCTGAAACTATATAAAGTTAATGTTCATACATATATCCAGAGTCTTCCAACAGCTTACAAGTCTTAATTTAAACAGGCTAGCTACAAATTATCAAAAGGACATAATCTATTCCCTACAGCACCTAAAAAAAAAAAAAATCCCTTGGGTATTTAATCATTCAGAGGTGAAAAAACACATGACTTTTTAAATTTATGATACAGATGTATAGCACTTGTGCAGTGCTAGAGCATCCAGAAAGCACTGGCCATTTCTGAC